ACTCTCAAAAAAGAAGAGATTTGTACTTTCTAACATCTCCTTACTCCGTCGGATTCTCTGCTGACTCATTTGTACCCGATTATACCCTTTTAATTTTTATTATTTATATTTTTTAAGTACATATATTATTTTTTATGCGATTGAAAAGAAATGTTAACATTTTCGACCTGCAACTCAATATTCTGGTATTTTAATTTAATCTTTCAGTAGTTGCTAAGGAATCAGTTGATAACAATACGGGAATCACTTTCTCGGCCTGTTTCTCGGCCTGCTGGATAATTGGAATATGAAGACAAACATTTGGGAAATATTTGAGCGATTATAGAAAAAATAGTTTGTGTATTTCGGAGAAAAAGCACATTCTCAGCCTTTGGTGTTTGCTGACTTCGGCAACTGACACCATCGGCCAAAAATGTGTCACTTTCCCGCCTAAATACAGAATATACTATATTATATACAGGGTGAGTCACTATATTTGGACACCCATCTGCAGCCGTAATGACAGGTGATAGGTAAAAGATGTGAATACGAAAGTTGTAGCATTTTATCTGAACCGCCAGAATTTTCAATTAGATTGGACAAAATGAGCAGCACAAAGTGGAAGAATATGTCAATGTTCGCTTTTTTTAAATGGAATCTACTTTAATTTCTTTCAAGTTCTTGAAGTTCTCGTTTTTCTGATTCGGATTATATAATATGTTAATGTTTCTTTCAATAGTTTTAGAAATATCTGCAGTTTAGTGGTTTAAAGACCTATTGACGTATCCCAATGTTTTATGGACAGGTGACAGGTAAATCAAGCTAAAATATATTCAAAACACTACTCCCTTTGAATAACTAAACTCCAGATATTTCCAAAAATATTGAAAGGAACACTAACATAGATAATCTGAATCAGAAAAATGAGAACTTTAAGAATTTGAAAGAAAATAAAGGGCATTCCATTCGAAAAAGTGAACATTGACACATTTTTCCATTTTGTGTGGCTCACTTGTTCAATCTAATCAAAATTTCTTGCGGTTCACATCAAATTCTACAACATTTGTATTTACACCTTTCACCTATCACCTGTAATTACGGCTGCAGATGGGTGTCAAAATATGGTGACACCCTGTACAAAACCAAACAAAATTCTAAAATGCAAATTTTTTAAAATTGATTCGCATAAGAGTGGGAAAAGCCTATTGATAAATAAATAAATTTGAAAAAATACTCCTGCGTGGAAATTAAAGCACGAGGCGCAGCCGAGGGCGTTAACAACGCGAAGGAACTCAAACACCATTTGCGCCTGTGGTACATGCAAAATTTCATGTAGGATTGCGAGAAATTATGTTTTAATTCAAATATTATTTTAGAAAAATTATGAATAATTAAAAAACACACCCGCATTCAAAGTCAAATAATCAACAATGCGGGTGGTTATTCGTAAATTGGCAGAAGAAACGGAAAACCAACCGAATAAACATCCAATTTGAACAATTTTGTTCGTTTTGAAGGGTAAAAATAAGCAATTTGTGCCAAAATTTGCTCAATTTTTGACACCTATATCATTGTGGCACTTTGCGGCCCAGCGATCCGAAAAGTAGGTATCAAATTGTGCCCACAAATTATGTGCTTTACGGCCTGGTCGTTCATAGAAAAAAATATATTACAAACTGATAAGGGTGATGAATTTAATAATTGCATAATATGTAATTTCAAAAACTTGTTCTGAAAGTTTTTCATTTGTCTATCAACGACTAGACACGGCCAATCAAAGTGCGGTTCAAAAAAAATAAAAATGGTGCATTGATTAAATTATTCTGAGAACAATTTGCAAGTTGGCACGGAAAGTCTCATTGGGTGCGAGCTAGGCTTATAGGATCATCTTATAGGTCAAATATGTGCGCATCTGTAAGCGAATCTATAACTTTCTATAAGCCTATAGACAATTAGCAATTCTGCGCTTCCTGTAGCTTACAGAAAATCTTATAGATTCGTAAATATTTCCGATCCGGTTGTTTGGCATTCGATGCATCTTGTCAATTACGTCACTGTAAGTTATACGTTTATAAAAAGAAAGTATCTCAAAGTTACCATTTAACACACAAGTTACAAATCATCGTAAGCTATGGATTTAGGAATTTATAGAAATTTCACAAGAGAACCCAGAATTGCACAATAAGCCTGCTTAAGACTAATTCTGTTGTTAAATTAGAAAAAAACTTAGCAAAGGTTTTTGCCCAATTAGACCCTCTAATTGAGCTGTGCGAGAAAGCTGAAACGAAAAGGGAGAGAGTAGGTAGCTAGTGCTCCTTTTTAGAGGGTTGCCGACTAGCTTCAAAAAGCGTGAAGGTTGTGGAATAAAAAAATGAAACGCCACCCGTTTTGTTCACCCGACTGTTGAACAGAGTCGGTGAAATTCTCGAGAATAAGAAAACCGAACCTTGAAGCACCAATCTGAAGAGGAGGGAATTAATTCCGGACTTTTCGGCGGTATAAGAAATAAAGAAGGAAAATGCTCTGCTTTACCCACTCTATTCAGGTAACAACCTAACATCACTTAGGTATACTTATTAATCAGAAATATTATAAAAATATTACAATCAATTACATATTATATTCGAAGCAAAATTATTATTATTTCCTTTTAAACTTTTGTACGTACAATATTGAATTGGATATCAGGAGAAATATTCATTTAAAATGGAGACTGTTTTATCTTAGGGTAGTTACTTTCTTAAACAGTCCCTATTCTTTTGCAGTGTCCACTACTGATGTTTATTTCTTTAAAATGAACACAACACGTGGTGAGCGAACAGAATCGAACCATTTTTGCTGATTCAAATACCGTCTTGATTTTTGACAAAAATTACCTCTTTGCAGATGACACTCTAGTATACTCAATATCCAAAAATGTGGATGAATTGGTTGAAGGTACTAACAATACTCCGGCTAATTTTTACAATTATATGTGTGTGAATAAGTTGAAGATCAAAAACAAAATATATGGTTATTGTACCGGAAAAAATAACAAGGGCTTTTGGTAAAGAAAAATATAATATAGAGATTGATGGATATCCTATTGAGATTGTAAGAGAAATTATGGTACATACATTTATCATTTATGGAGCATGCTAGTTGCATATTTGACTTACTGTACCAAAGTTATTATATACAATAACACACTCATACTACGACATATTAATTATTGTGCAAGTGTTTTGTTTTTGTTAAACCAGAATACTTTGGGAAAAATACAAAAAAATGCAAAATCGTACAATGAGGGTAATTTTGGTATGTAGCAGATACACTTCAATCCTTTCAATGCAGGAACGCTTGCAATGGTTTCCTGTTTCCGAATATATTAAGTATAATGTTATGGTATTTATATTCAAGATTAAGAATGGACATGCCCCTCAATACTCTGTCTTGTAATAATTTTGTGGTTTCTAAAAAAAGTTCAAGCTTTATATTTGGGATTTTCATTCGATACCGTAATATCTGCATAATAATATGAGGTAGCCCAGGAGTGAAGTAAAATAAATGTTATCCACGACTATCCAAATACAACAATTATGACTAATTTAATAAAATTTTATAGTGGAATCTAATGTCTTTACATCAGATTCCACCTACCTACTAACATAATAATATTATCCCACTTTTACAATGGATTTCTACCAGAATTGACAAATAAAGTTGAAAATGAGCTTGACATAGGTGGATTAGATGCTATTTCTACTAATCCACCTGCAAACTGGACAACTTCTAATGCACGGGCTACGTAAATCACGGTGTATACTGGGCTTATTACAATAATACTGCGATAATAAAGCTCATAGCGTTCACGTTTATCAATTCACAGGATGTATCCTTCTCGACTTTGTGACAAATCCAATCAGAATATTTTACATATAGAAAATGTGTAGTGCAGATGCTAGATGTACAATCTTTGTATGAGGTGAATGCGGAGGATTGTATACCTAACACGTACGTTTGTGTTTGGTGAGATTTCAAGGGGATGTCACCGCGAGCTATTTGGGCTCACACCTTTGTTGGCATTGTGGTATATCAAGCTTATTTTCTGATTTGATATTCTCGTTTGTGTTGCAATCAGGAGAACGAATGTTCAAAACCGGTATGTAGCTATATGGAAGTGTACAGCTCGATTTTCTCTTCATTGTCTTACAAAGCACAGCTACACCTATTGAATATTCCAGCTGTGTCTAGAAGTGATACAACCTCATGAGGTAAATGTAGTGGATTGTAGACTTAACACATATACCTACTATGAATTTTCCATATGGAAAATATCCTTACGCATAATGTTTCTGAAATTTCCAAAAATGAGGGACGTATCTTGATGTGGTAAACAAAGAAATTTACCAAATTCGTATCTACTCGTGCTTCATCAGTAAAACATCACTGTTCAATACTTAACAGTTAATTCACCTAAAGATATTTTAGTTGTTTTCATTGTTTTATTCAAGAATTTGTTGAAAGAGCAGAAGTTGCTCAAAATCCACCGTAGGAACTCACAAATAAATAACGAAAATGTTTAGACAAAAAGAATAAAACATAATATGGAGCCCGGGAACTACGGAGACCAGGTTTACATAATATACCAGCACATTACCTGACCTATATAGATAATAATATTCTATTTATTTATATGCACTATTATTTCAATAGTTTTTCATTCAATATGTAATATGTGAAGTGAAGTTTATAAGTGACTTCAAAACTGAGGAAAGTATCTGGAAATTATTACAAACTCATTTTGAGAGGCAAAACGGTTTCAAATTTGAATGAAGCCTGGATAACCGAATTCTCAAATTTTCTCCTTAATTATTTTTAATTCGTTAAAAATTGAATTTTTTTAACGTTAGAGTTTTCAAGGATTAGGAGTTTACAACAAAAGCCAAGGAATTGGGTGATCCAGACTTGATATGCACTAGAAAATTACGAAGCTACCTGCAACTACTAATGCAATAAAAAAAATATTTTCTGTATCCTACCGTGTGGTAGAAAAAGCCAGATTTGCAGGAAAACTACCAGTGTTAGAGCTCTTGGTCGGCGATAGAAGAAACAATGCTGCATACTGATTGATGAAGAAGTGAAGAGCAGAAGAAACCTAGGAGCCAGCGCAATTTTGTTGTTATAAACTTTTTCAATGGTTAATTCCCGTCAAGTCCCATTCGTTTATGTGTCATTTTTTTAAACTATTTTGTTGAACACAAAGGAAATTTGGTGTATAATAAATCGAACGGCCGGTCATACAACGCGTCTATACCCCGAAATTTTAAATGCCGACAAATATTTTTAGGTTATCTCATGATGTACTATAAGTGCACACAGATGTGAACAAAAGCCAAAGCCATAGCGATAGCGAGTCCGGACAGCTCCACGGCGGATCCGATGAAAACTGCGGCGCTAGGGCCCCAACTACCCTCCCTTCGCTTCGGCAAAGCACCAACCGCCAGATACTCCGTTACACATGGCTCTCCTCCACGGCGATGGCGTTTCGCGATCATGCTGACGATGACGTCGACGACGACGTGACTCTACTCTTTTTGTTCTCGTCTCTATCACTACCAAATACGAGGGAGCACTCTAAGAAAGTTTCTGAGCTCCTGCCTTGATGCTTACATCCTTGCCTTGCCTCAAGATCGAATATACTCGTGGTATATTTATTAAGAAATTACGGTTATTTATCAATCTGGCAAAAACCAGGATATAGCCAGTATTGTAGGGCCATTTTGCTTAGCATGCCAGCGTAATTTTCTTGGATATGACATGTACTTTATATAATAATGGGTAATTTTTGCTATATTTTTGAAATAGGTAACTATATGACTTTATATCAAGGTCGGTTTAAAGGGGGGGTAGAGGGGGTAGTTACCCCCTTCCCACACAAAGATTTTTTTTAATACATTTATTAAGTAATTTCAACAAAATTTCAACCGAAGACAAGTTCTACAAAATAAGGCATTAAAGGCATCATATAAATATGACAGACTCGCCAGTATCGACGTACCTACTACTATACAGTGAGAAAAAGGGTATTCTATTAGGAAAAAAATGAGCTATGCTTGTTTGAAATGTCTGGATTTGTGTACAGTATTGCGAACACCGTTTAGAATGTTATCAGATTTTCATAGGACCATGAAGTAAATGAAAGTATGCACTAACAACCTGCAAAAGATTTGGCTTATAAGATCTCCAATGAATGAAATATGTTGGTTGACACATGCAAACTGCGATTTTTCGAAAAAACATTAAATATTTCGAAAACGGTTGAGTTTTGGTATGGGTCTCGGTATAGATGGGTAATTCCTAACAAAAAGTATGTAGGATTTTTAGAACGATCCATTAATGTACAACTAAAATATAGGAGGGTGTTCCATTTAAAATAACAAATTTCTGTCACATACTCCCTGTATATTCGCATACTCCCTGTATATTCAAAAAAATTTTTAACTAATGCACCTTAGAGTATCAAACAACTTTGTAGTTTTTTTTTCCCGCATCACCTTGTAAGGAGATATAGTCCGATATCGCACTAGGACACCCTGTATAGTATAACTATTTTGACCGCATCGGGATACATTTTTGCCCGAGGCGTGTTTCTTAAACGAATTTCAGGTGCAAATTTGGGCGTGGCACCCCAAAAAAAGGCGGGGAGCCTTCAGCGATACGTTGCGGCAATTTTATACGGCTTTTCATATATTATTGAATAATCATGTCTGTATAATGATGATTGCATCAACTTCTTAGGCCTACTAAAATAATGGCAAGAGTTGAAGCGCACTAAATATATTCGCATGTTCCTTCAGCAACATATAAAATAAAAACATGAAAATACATTTTTTTTTGCTTTAGTTGTATCCACTAGGAACCTCCATGGATTTCGGATAGAATTGGCAGGGTCCGTTATTGGTGCACACTGCTTAATCGCTTTGTTTACATTACTGCAAATTCTAGAGAAAAACTATAATGAAGAAATATCAGGTTTGGAGATATTGTTAAATTCTTTTATTTAGGGAGAAGAAACAAGTTTCTTGGCATCAATTTATTCCGTTGTAAAGTTTATTAAACAATTACACATCAATACGTATTAGTATCTACCCGATTGACAATCTTGTTCGAAGGTTGATTCAAGAATGATCTCTGAGGAAATAGCTGTGATATAAAATATAATATGGAAACTAAATAACTATGCTGAGTGAACGGAATGCTGAATAAGTGTGGTAGCTTCATTGCAGGTCAGTGGCGCGACAGTAGCAGCAAAGCAGTGGCATAACAAAACATATTCCTCCCCCGTTAAAATTAATCAATAGGTTGATTCGATTGATTAATTTAATTTCCTGGGGGTTTCGATATTGCTGGTTTGTTAGTGGTGCCAACAACTGTTTTCAACTCGAGTGCTTCTGGTTCTTGGTGAGCTCTCGGAATTTGCTGCAAAAATCTGACAGATTTATTGGAATTCAAGAAGATGTTGCTGTTGGATATCGATGAATCATGACTGTAGATACTGATTCCATGTGTAACCGTTTTTGCGGGGAAAAATCGGCCAAAATAAGGTATCCATTTACAGCTACAGCAGTACTTGGAACAGCAGCAACATATTACAATCAAAAATATGAAGATGATTGCTACAGATAGGATGGTGTTGAAGGTTGGATGATATCCGGAGCCAAATGGCTTCTTGATTTTATGTTGCAAAGTTTCTTCGAACATTTCCAGTTCGTGCTTTCATCATCAGGGATCTGTTTGATTTGATTGAGTTTCAGGCTCACCTCACAATTTACGTTCTGGGCAGTGAGGTAAGTTATCAAATCTTTATATAACTGGGTCTTGTCGATTTTCTTGCAACTAGACAGGTCTTTTATCGAAGCAAACCTAGTTTTACTCGTACTTAGGATTAGGAAGAGGTACGTAGGATCAATATATGTACAAATTGAGCCCTTAGGGTCGAAAACAGGAAGCAGTAATAATTTGTATAAATGATAACTTAATCTAGAAGTAAGCGGTATTTTAATTGAGAATAATAAAATTTCATTATTAAAAATAACATTTATTTTCAAACGTCATATAACAGTAATTTTTGTGATCATTTTGAGGAGGTATAAGAGTCACTTCAATGACTTTCAGCTTGAGCGGCGTATAGGCGTTATACTCCGCCGGAGTATAATGCCCGTATTACATCTGTGTATTTTTCAGTGTATTTATTCATGTAGTTCAGGGTGCCAATATTATTTTGTTTTTCATAATACTGATTTATGTTGCGTTTGAAGTTTTTCGGTTGTCACCCTGAACTACATGAATAAATACACGGAAAAATACACAGATGTAATACGGGCATAACATTTATACGCCGTTACACATGTTTTTCCATAGCGATTTCAGGTAGTTCACCTGTACATACAGGTATAGGTGCTTATAACGGTGATTCTTCTGAATATGAATGTCATAATTTAAATTAAAAATTGTGCACTTTCTGGAATAAAGATCGTTTGGAAATAAAATATTGTATTTCATTCGGAGTATAAGTATTCTTCATGTGACTTGCATGGATTTAATTCGCCTCGCTGCGCTCGGCGTTCAAACTTCCATGTGCGTCACATAAGTATTACTTATACTCCTAATAAAATAAATATCTATTAGATCACAAATAGAAAAATACTTATGTATCTTCATCATTTGTTAAACTGACTGAAAAGTTAAATCTGAATCCAACTTAACGTTGAGAAACTCATTTCTCAAATCTTTACGATTAATTACATTTGGGTGAATAACATTTTGCTTGGCAAAAAGTATTGAAGAACTTATCGAATCATATTCTTCAATTAATTCAGTAATTATATGTAATCATAAATTATTATGTTCAGTTACTGAAGTCACATACGAAATCTCAGTCAACTCTGTTGTAGCTTGGTCATTAAATTTATATAATTTTCCTAAATTGTTATTCAATTTTTCTTCATTTAATTTTGAAGAAACAACAGAACTATTATAATTTCCAATTGCAGATGACATTACTCTTTTTTTCCAAAGAATTAATTGCGTCATTATAATAAACTAGATCGTCTGCATCTGGTGTACCGAACAACCATGTAAATGCAGTTGAAACTCCGTTTTTTAAACCTCTGCGTTTACGTTTGGTTTCAAATGTATGAGCGACTAAATGAATGAGAGTATCAAGTTTCTTTTCTAATGTTTTGATTTGAGCTTAAGCATCAAACAAGGTGAGCGAATCGGTGCAATGGAAACTATGCTCGTATATTTTATTATTTCCAAGATTGGAATCATGACATATGTTTTTCGATTTTGCATATATTTTTTCCACAACTTCGAATTTATGAATGGAAAAGGAAATATTTGAAAACGAAAGGAGAGTAAAATAATCATCATATAATTTTACGCCTAGAGATTGGTAAAAGATGCCTGCTTGGTTAATAATTGCTGTTATCTAATAAGCCTGCTCCTCCGTGTGCGATAGGTGGGCGCGACACATCGTAATTGTGAGAAGAGCACGTAGTGTGTACTGTATCAGCTTCACTTTTGTCTGAAAAAAAATGGTTTCTGGTAATTCAAAAATTAAAATAAATTCACAGATCTTGTCAGCGATGGATTTTGACTCATGACTGGGAATTGCGAATGCGTATGAAAATTTGGAAAGGTCGTCCTGGCGTGTTAATATAAATTTATTTCCTGCTTCTGTTATTGGTAGAGGTTCTACAATATCTAAGAAGATTGTCTCAAATGGAAAATTAGACGTAGAAGTAACTTGCATTCGAGCTCTAATTGGATGACGATTTACTTAATTCTCTTGAAACTTGATGCAACCTTTTATAAACGTTCTGATATCTTTTTTCATATTGGGCCATTTATAAACTTCCTTAATCCGTTGGTAAGTTTTGCTAAATCCGGGATGACCAGCAAGAGAGGTAGAATGATTTTCCTTTGAAATTTCGGCAATTTCTTCTTTTGTATTCCGTTTAATTTTATCTGAGTCTACCAGAATGATTTTTTGATTATTATCAAATACGTAGAAAATTATTTCATTTAGTATAGCGTGTTTAATAGTAGGATTGTAA